ATTTAATATACACTGTCAATGCTGGAAATGTGAGTCATTATCTAACGGTTTAATATGCACTCTGAAAGCTGGAAATGTGAGTCATTATCTAACGGTTTAATATGCACTGTCAAGGCAGGAAATGTGAGTCATTATCTAACGGTTTAATATACACTGTCAATGCTGGAAATGTGTGTCATTATCTAACGGTTTAATATACACTGTCAAGGCAGGAAATGTGAGTCATTATCTAACGGTTTAATATGCACTGTCACGGCAAGAAATGTGAGTCATTATCTAACGGTTTAATATACACTGTCAAGGCAGGAAATGTGAGTCATTATCTAACGGTTTAATATGCACTGTCACGGCAAGAAATGTGAGTCATTATCTAACGGTTTAATATGAACTATGCACCATTCGTTTCTTAACATAATTTATATTTCAATGCAATCCACATACATTTCTTTTTGCCTAGAAATTGAAAAATATATTGAAGCATGGCCAGGTGGTTATGGCGCTTGACTCGCAATCTGAGAGTCACGGGTTCGAATCCCCGTGACCCACCAAACATGCTCACCCTTTCAGCCGTATGGGCGTTATAATGTAACGGTCAATCCCACTATTCGTTGGTAAAATAGTAGTCCAAGAGTTGGTGGTGGGTGGTGATGACTAGTCTTACACTGTTAAATTAGGGACGACTAGCAGAGTTATCCCTCGTGTAGCTTTAAGCAAAATTAAAAATAAACCAGACCCCTGGTGGATTTACAACGCTAAAATCAGAGGTTCTATTCCCCTCGGTTGACACAGCAGTTAGTCCGATGTGCCTTTGCCATAACAAAACACACACACACGCATTTACTATTTATAAATATAGTGTAATGTATAGTATGCGTGCTTGATATACCTATATTAAAATAACATATAAAAATTTTGAATTTCCATTGTAATCCAATAGAAAAAATCATTCAATGTTCCAGTAAACTACAACGTAAAATGATGTATCACAGTGGCCAAGAAAATTCGGCCTGAGCGCCCCCCTACAGGTAACTTGGGCTAAACGACCATGAACACATGGATTGCAACCAGTGAGACATACCCGCCGCCCACTCGACAATTCTTAATGAAATAATGAGGTAGATTGTTACTTTCATAACAGTTTACTTACGGGCGTGTCATGGGCTCAAACCTCAGACCTTTCGATCCGCAGTCTGGAACGTGAACAACTAGAGAGAAAGGTAGAAAAAGAAGGTTCAGAGAGGCTATTGAACTTAGTAAAATGTCTCGTTCGTAATTTGATAATTCCTGACCATCTTAAAAACTGAATATGTAATTGAATCTTTGTTGTTCTTTTCGTTTCTTTTTGTTCTATAAGTTTGGAATGTTAGCATAAACTTACGGAATAATTTGTTAAAACTCACACAGAAATATTAGGGAATTCTCCAAACTAAAACACATTCTTGGGTTTGCCCTATGAATGTGCCAGAAGCATCTCTCTCTCTCTCTCACACACACACACACATATATATATACTGTCAATCTATGTTAACGCTAAGAATATAAAGTTCAATTTTAGCGTGAAAATGGAAAATGTATATATATATATAAAAGGAAATATCAAATAATAGCGGAAACCATTGAAGTTCTTAAAGGGAATTTATCTGGAAAACGTGTTTTGAACTCGAACTTCACATTTTAAGATATATTTTTACATTTATACATATATTTAAACGAGAATGTCTATTTTTTCATAAGTTAGACAAATGCACAACTGGATAACGAGATGATTTCCAAAAATGTCTCTTACATTGAAAATTGAAAAGTAAAAATCATGAAGAGACAGCAACAACAAACGAGGCAGTATTTAGGTAAAAAATCAAGCGGTTGTCAGAGACAAAAGTCCCTCTTTGCTCCGAGCGCAACATATAAACAACAACAAACATGGCAGAGATTCAGGTATAAACCAAGGGTTATAAGAGGCATTAACAAATCAACAACAACAAACATGGCAGGGACTCAAGTATAAACCAAGGGTGGTAAGAGACAGTAACAAATCAACAACAACAAACATGGCAGGGACTCAAGTATAAACCAATGGTGGTAAGAAACAGTAACAAATCAACAACAATAAACATGGCAGGGATTCAGGTATAAACCAAGGGTAGTAAAAGTGCCTCTTACCACCCTTGGTTTATACCTGAATCCCTGCCATGTTTGTTGTTGTTGATTTGTTACTGTTTTTAACAAATCAACAACAACAAACATGGCAGGGATTCAGTCAGGAATTCTTCTTCTCTCCTATTAACAGCATCTAAAGAAGTTCTGCCTTATTGAAATTGCGTTACATGTCTGAAAAGTACTTATTCTGCATAACATATATTGTTCTGAAACAGAGACTTTAACATAGCATATATGTACTGTCATATGCAATCATACCAATATAGCCAACTCTAATTCATGATTGTCATCAATAGAATTAATGCTGGCCTACAGATTCTTTTTAGAGGTTGAGTTGTTGTTTTTTAAAATCATAGTTTAGTATTAAATCATACATTTTATTACATCTTCATTAGCCGACAAGAGGAAAATAAGATAAATTGAGCTACTGTAAGTATTAGATAGATAGAACAAGAGAGAGAGAGAAGGGGGGGGGAGAAAGAAGAAGAAGCAGAAGGCTAGAAATATAAAGTTTTGTCGGATTGGTAATATTACATTTTTTAAATCACTGGTGGGCGTATATTTTTACGTACAGGGCGTCATTCACTGCTTTCCTGAGAACTTAAAATATACAAACTTGCTTCTGTAATCGTCAGAAGTCATGTCGCAAAATTCCTCTTCTTCCTCACTCCCACTGTTTTTTTTTTTCATCCAAAGAAAAGAAGACGCTTCTTCAATGAGGACCCGGAAAGAATCAGTAGACATTATAGTTATTGTCTTGCTTAAACTTCACCATGATCATTGTTAATGGACATTCTATAGCCTGAAATGGAAGGTTGCTATTCTACCACGTTAGAACCAGGATAGACTTTAGCATAGGAGTGATGTAAGAAATATCACTGTACATTACGCCTAACTACAAAGCATATGCCTTTAAAAAGCGTTGTTTAATTTTGTATGAAGCACCATGATATATTTAGAAGCGTTGCTGGCCTCTAGTAGAGGAAGAAACTGCAACGGAAGGGGACAAGAAGAGAGAGAACACATCATCGCACTCGGCGCCTCGTCATGGATGTTGTCTTGCAGAGAATTATAATTCAATTAAGTGTCGTGTGTTTGAATGAATGCAGGGAGCGACTAGCAAACGTCACGCGCAGCTCCATTCGCGACTGCCCCAACAGGTTCATTTGAATCGGCAGGCAAGCAGGCGGGGGGTTTGGGTGATCATCAGCCAGCAATAATACGGCCTCTCGTCCGTGTCGGTATTGGGGAAGACGTCCTGGAAGGCGGGAACTGGCGGAGAAGGGAGGAGAGTGGAACTGAGAGTTCATGGCGGCAGCAACAGGATTCGTATAAAGCCTCCCGTGTTAGCAAGCCGAAACCAGTACTGTACTACTAGCAGAGTAACAGGAATAGTTAGTCTTTCAGATTCGAGCATGGACTACCCTTACCTGAACCAGTCGACCTTCGAGGGCAGCTGTTCTCTCTCTGGTGTTGACCCGGGGTTTTCCTCCTGTCAACACCCTTGCTCCTATTCCGACTTTGCTTCCTGCGGTCAGATGCCTCAGGTACCTAACCGATATGGCTTACCAATACCACCTCGTTCCTTCACGGCTCCTCCAGGTGCTGCTTTGCCGACCTCTTCCTGTAGCATGATGGGCCGACCTCGGCCGGACTGCGTGACTCAAGCACAAGCTCCCTCCGTCTTTTCCTCCACGATGGGACTCCAGAGTAAGTGAGCTTTCCTTCAGGCTGCGCGCTGCTTAAATCGCTCGATCACCGCGGGCTAACTATATTAGGGCAGCGACCCTGGAGCCGAAATTAAATAATTTAATACGACCGAGTTTATTGTGAATAATCTTGTTCGCTTTCCGCGCCCCACGTTGGAATTTCCTTATTCGCTGTAATTCGGTATATGTTTATATCGTCTTAACCTGATTTCATCCGTTTCTTTCTCGTAAACGCGCCAAATTAGCGCTGACGGTTCTCAGATTGCTGGCTTGGTTTGTAACGATTCATATTTCTCGGCCCCTATATTCATCATTTTTCTTGCTTAGAATCAATTGAGACGGGGCACGCTGACTAACCATGTTATGAGACCCAGTCGATTGTGGCCTTCTTCGCTGTAGGCGACTCTGTATTCGATAGCCCAGTCGGTCTAAATTTGATCAAGGCTGCCGACAAAAGTACATAAATCCGCGTTACTTCTGGAGTGGCTTGAGATGCGATAGTAGTAGTAGACAACATGTAGAGATCATAGTGGGAAGTAGCATCCTTCGTGCTACTATTATAACGTATTATTTCTAGAAGAACTGAAACGTAATCATGGTAAGATGATTCGTTACATTGAAAATTGCTTCAATTATGCCTCGTATATTGACGGAAACGCTTTTTTTTTCCAGTGTTTTTCTCGCTAAACGAGGGGCGTAAAAGCTATGATTTATCGCCATTACTTTAATTATCCAATTATTAGGTTTCCAGAATTATTAAATGCGTGCGAGCATAAAGAAAAAAAAATGATTAATTGATTTCTATTCTCAAACCTTCAAATATGTTAACCGTTTCTAAATGTTTTATACTCAAATAATATTGATTGAGTTGATATGAGGAAAGTGTAGCCATAAAGGGGTGTTCTAACTATCTACCTCTCGGATAAATCACTTAATTTACTTTCGAAATTATGCAGAGGTAAAGCATAATTTCTCACCGAAACGCCTACGATCGCGTAGTTTTAGTCTCTGTATTTGTACAGAATCCCTATTGAAGTATCATGGATCCACGGAAAAGATAGCAAGGAAATGATCCCGACACATACATAAAAGTTAGCGCGCAGCGGCTTGTTCGTTTATGATTATTTTAGATCGGAGTGTTTACTGCTTTAAAATGAATGAATTTTTGTTTGTAATTAACCACAAAGTTACACAATGGGCTATCTGTGCTCTGCCCACCACGGGTATCGAAACCCGGATTATAGCGTTGTGAGTCCGCAGACTTACCGCTGTGCCACTGGGGGGGGGGGTAAATGAATTTTGAATGAATTTCATAAAAGCTGTTAACTATTTTCTTCATTATTCGTTAGTGTAGCTTCCCAAGTTTCACGAAACTCTCTTTCAAGTATCAAGAAATCTATGCATCCTATTCAAACACACAAGAATAACCATTCTATTATGAATAACATTTGTTCTAAGTGCAAGCCACCAAGTGTATTTCTAAAACGAATAAGTTTCGGTTACGTAATATTTGAAAACTGGCAGATTGACTTTTAATATTATTCAGAAACTAATACATATTTAACTATAGTTCTGCGGGAAAGTTTCCACTTTTTTTTTATCGAATATTAACTGGTTTGCTTTGAAAATAGCCGTCAAAGTGTTTGCCCATAGATGCTACAATCTCCTATCCAAAAGTTATATATTTGGTTTCATAATAGAAACGCCAATTTAATTCATCTGCTCTTTTTTTTTTTCTAGGATCTTCACACACTTTATCCCCTCCCCCTTGTCCTTCCGGTTATTTGATGAATATTTTGGAAAAAAATAAAACTTAATCATGCTTTACGTAATAGTCTGCAGAGCGTAATTAACCTTCTTATTAACCTGCTACGCTAATATTCCCTGTATTGCATATAAATACGCATGATGAAAAGAGTTAATCAATTAAAGTTATTGGAACGACTAAAAAATATACTTGGCTGTGAAATGAATAGAGAAAGCTACAAATTATGATTGAAAACTAAACGTAGAACTAAATATATCCGTTCATTGTTTGTAGTGATACTTAAAATTATGGTTGAGAATTAAACATAGAACTGATTATCTGTTTATTGTTTGTAGTGATACTTAAAATTATGGTTGAGAATTAAACATAGAACTGATTATCTGTTTATTGTTTGTAATGATTCCCTAAATTATGGTTGAGAATTAAACATAGAACCGATTATCTGTTTATTGTTTGTAGTGATACTTAAAATTATGGTTGAGAATTAAACATAGAACTGATTATCTGTTTATTGTTTGTAATGATTCCCTAAATTATGGTTGAGAATTAAACATAGAACTGATTATCCGTTTATTGTTTGTAATGATTCTCTAAATTATGGTTGAGAATTAAACGTAGAACTAAATATATCCGTTCATTGTTTGTAATGAATTAAATGAATTAAACATAGAACTGATTATCTG